ATGATGGATACGATTTTAAGCAGATATTGGATGTCTGAATGTTCAGCTTGGCAAAGACAGGGCCATGGTTATTTCAGTTCAGACTGATTGCTCCTCCAGTCACAGTTCTCAACAATAAACACACTCGACACTCAGCACTGATACAGTACTGCACAAAGGCATACATTTTTAGAGGAAGTCAATTGTAACCAAGGAGAGCTTGTGGCCTAGTCAAGACTATTTTTTGATTAACCTAAAAAGCACATAGTTTGACAGTCTCATGGCATTGACAAAGAAAATTTGATTTGCTCATCAATCAGTTAAATCTGTCTAAATAATGTTATTCATCCCATCATTTTGTGAACTAGACTGCCTCAGTATTGTCATTCTAGACATGCAAAGCCTTCCCTCATCAGGTAATGTAATTCCATGCTTCATTAGTACTGTGAAGTTTATCATTTGTCATCAAAGCCAGCTGTCAATAAATAATTAAGTTGCAGATGAGGAGAATGAAATATATTTGCTGAAGGAAGGAAGATTGCTGTCTACATTTTAATTGCATACACACATTTTGTGTGTGTGTGTGTGTGTTTACCCAAGGTTTTAATTTGCTGTGGTGGCTACAAAGCAGCACCTGTTCATAGTCTGCCTACTTTTTAAGTTGTACTTTCACCGTCAACAAACATCATTATTTAACATATTTACACCTATAGAAGAAAACATTTAGGCTAATGATTATATAGCAAATGGGCAGACGGTTCAGGCACTGCTCCCCTTTAATCTGAATGAAAATGATTAGTAGCCTAACTACAAACCTGCCATATTTTTTGGGACCAATGTCTTGTTTATTACAGTGTAATAATTGTGGAAGAATCAAAACTATAGATTTTATTTAGGCCTACACCTTTCTGTTGCCACACAGACCATGAAAGTGAGATGGCGGTGCATGTCGAAAACAGAAGAAAGAGATGGATGGGTGGAGAGAGAGGAGAACTCTATCTGGTCCGGAATTATCTTTGTGTGTCCAGGCATCATTCCAATGTCACATTTCATTTGCATTCCAAGCTGAAACACTGCATCCACAAACAATCAGTAAATATACTATAATGGGGTTCTGACAGTTATGTTTGAGAGGATTGTAAAAGCAGAGGGATCGATTGATGACATTCTATCTGCCATAATTACTTTCTACTGAGATCTGGCAAGCATGAGGAAGCATATGGTTCCTGTCTGGTAGGATAGCCAACGTGTTAATGTATTCTACTGTATCTCTGTGTGTGAACCAAGCCTATGACGATGCTGTTTTAGAAGGTTGTGGAGGCCAACCTGTATTCACAGTCTGTTAGGCTAGTACACTAGTAAAAAGGTACACACAAAGCAGGATATCAATCACATCGGAAATGATGTAAGTTTGTTTCCCCAATTCAAAACCCCATTTCTAATAGGCTAACTTATAATATGTGCTCTTTGGTATTGCATCTTTATTACTCCTGTTTACATCTACACTACCGGTCAAAAGTTTTAGAACACCTACTCATTCAAGGGTTTTTCTTTATTTGTACAATGTTCTACATTGTAGAATAATAGTGAACTAAACTATGAAATAGCACATATGGAATCATGTAGTAACCACAAAAATGTGTTAAACAAATCAAAATATGTTATATTTGAGATTCTTCAAATAGCCACCCTTTGCCTTGATGACAGCTTTGCACACTCTTGGCATTCTCTCAACCAGCTTCATGAGGTAGTCACCAGGAATGCATTTCAATTAACAGGTGTGCCTTGTTAATTTGTGGAATTTATTTGAGCCAATCAGTTGTGTTGTGACAAGGTAGGGGTGGTATACAGAAGATAGCCCTATTTGGTAAAAGACCAAGTCCATATTATGGCAAGAACAGCTCAAATAAGCAAAGAGAAACATAATTACTTTTAAGACATAAAGGTCAGTCAATCTGGAAAATGTCAAGAACTTTGAAAGTTTCTTCAAGTGCAGTCGCAAAAACCATCATGCGCAATGATGAAACTGGCTCTCATGAGGACCGCCACAGGAATGGAAGACCCAGAGTTACCTCTGCTGCAGAGGATAAGTTCATTAGAGTTACCAGCCTCAGAAATTGCAGCCCAAATAAATGCTTCTCAGAGTTCACGTAACAGACACATCTCAACATCAACTGTTCAGAGGAGACTGTGTGAATCAGGCCTTCATTTTATTTATTTTTATTTTACCTTTATTTAACTAGTCAAGTCAGTTAAGAACAAATTCTTATTTACAATGACGGAGGAGGTGTGATGGTGTGGGGGTGCTTTGCTGGTGACACTGTCTGGGATTTATTTAGAATTCAAGGCACACTTAACCACATGGCTACCACAGCATTCTGCAGCGATACGCCATCCCATCTGGTTTTGGCTTAGTGGGACTATCATTTGTTTTTCAACAGGACAATGACCCAACACACATCCAGGCGGTGTAAGGGCTATTTTACCAAGAAGGAGAGTGATGGAGTGCTGCATCAGATGACCTGGCCTCCACAATCCCCCAACCTGAACCCAATTGAGATGGTTTGGGATGAGTCGGACCACAGAGTGGAGGAAAAGCAGCCAACAAGTGCTCAGCATATGTGGGAACTCCTTCAAGACTGTTGGAAAAGCATTCCAGGTGAAGCTGGTTGAGAGAATGCCAAGACTGTGCAAAGCTGTCATCAAGGCAAAGGGTGGCTATTTGAAGAATCTCAAATATAACATATATTTTGATTTGTTTAACACTTTTTTGGTTACTACATGATTCCATATGTGTTATTTCATAGTTTTGATGTCTTCACTATTATTCTACAATGTAGAAAATAGTAAAAATAAAGAAAAACCCTTGAACGAGTAGGTGTTCTAAAACTTTTGACCGGTAGTGTGTATATTACCATAAGTATTTATATATTCCTACTACCAGTCACTTGTTATGTATAAACCCACTTCAACCAGTCCAGTACCCCTGCACATTGAATAAGGTACTGGCACTGACCTGTATATACTTGCATTGTCGTGTTCCTTTAACTCACATCGTAGTTCTTGTGTGATTTACATTTTTACTATTTATTTTATTATCTAAAGTATTATTATTGTGGTCCTCTGTAGCTCAGCTGGTAGAGCACGGCGCTTGTAACGCCAGGGTAGTGGGTTCGATCCCCGGGACCACCCATACACAAAAATGTATGCACGCATCACTGTAAGTCGCTTTGGAAAAAAGCATATTATTTTATATTATTAGTTATTATCACTGCATTGTTGGGAAAGAGCTTTCAAGGTAAGAATTTCAATGTACTGTTTTACACCTGTTGTATCCTGTGCACGTGGGGAATAATCTTAGAAACATGAAACTTATTTACATTTACATTACATTTTAGTCATTTAGCAGACGCTCTTATCCAGAGCGACTTACAGTTAGTGAATACATTATATATTTTTTTTTATACTGGCCCCCCGTGGGAATCAAACCCACAACCCTGGCGTTGCAAACGCCATGCTCTATCAACTGAGCTACATCCCTGCCGGCCATTCCCTCCCCTACCCTGGACGACGCTGGGCCAATTGTGCGCCGCCCATGAGTCTCCCGGTCGCGGCCGGCTGCGACAGAGCCTGGATTCGAACCAGGATCTCTAGTGGCACAGTTAGCACTGCGATGCAGTGCCTTAGACCACTGCGCCACTCAGGAGTACAAAGAAATCAGTGATGATTAAATGTGTATTATAACAGTATAAGCCTCTTTTTTTGTGTTCAGGTCTGATGGGCTGTGAGAAGCAGTAAACATGGAACACTTTGAGGCTGCACCAGGTTGGTAAGTACAGTCTGCATTTCCTTGTTGTCATTTACATACATGCTAGGCCTATGCAATACATGGCACTTTTGCTGCCGCTGATTCAGTGCAGGAAGGCAGCTGTTAACGCAAAGATGTAGTTCGTCTAACCCAGATTTTTTTGCCTCTAAATATGTAATTTGGGGCATCATAAGTGGCAATAGTGTTTCAGTGAGCTGTTGATTAGTTTTGAGTGCAGTCATGCCTCTTCTGCCTATACCATTTGTCATGCTAATTCACATTTTAATTAATGTCCGTCAAGCCCTATGGTTAAAGCAATATTCACAGGCTTGACTACCCCATTAGTTAGAGGCTTTAGTACTGAGTAATACATGTATATGGTTTGTTCAGGTTCTCAATTCCACAGCAAGCTCAGTAATTCTGATATTTTGGAAATGTTTAGAATCAAATTCAATTATATGTAGGCCTATCTTTTATGGAGCTGTTATGGCAGCTCTTACTGATAGATCTAATGCATGTTCTCAATTTAGCCAGTCTGTACGGTACATTGTGTTAAATCAGTCTGAAAGGTTTATTTTAGAATCCATTACAGTAATATCGTTCTCATGAGACAATTAGCAGCTCACGCAAACATGATTGGGAGATTGGCTAAAACAAGAATATGATATTACTGTAAGGCACCCCTGGCTTAAAGCAATCCAAGACCTGTGGATCTGTAGTGACCCATTTTAAGGTCAGACGTCTCCCTGACCTGACCCTGATATCCCATTTCCTCCCCACTGGGCAGGCTGGTGGGCAGGCGCACCCTCCCTAAGGCACCTGCAGAGCAAGACGCCGGTCCCTCGCTGTGATACACTCATCACATGCCTCCCTCTCCCACAAATGAGCTGTGATTGAGATGATTGGGATTTCCAGAGGCTGTCACAATGGTTTTGATTAGCAAATAGACGGGTGGTAATGGGAGAGACAGGCCTGTTATGAGAACCCTGTCAGGGATAAGATAATGCGTCAGAGTGAAGAGGTTAAAGACACCGCTTCCCTGTTAATAATTAATTGGTGTCCGTGTGGCGGATCCACTCCAGCGCTCCAAGTCATCACTTGATAATTGCTTTACATTTAATTTGGCTTTGGAGATCGTTTTTCAAGCTCAGTAAATTGTGCTTAGTGTTAATAATATGAACCCGTCTTCAGACACCGGTTTGGTCAGAAACCAATGGTGACGAGACAGAATGGTAGGCCAAGTGGTGTCTCCATTTCAAAGTAATTTATCTTAAACACTAATTTACACTTTGACAGGGGGAAATACATATATGGTTATGTGTTCTGTGATTTAACAAAGAAGATAATTGTTATCATTATAAAAAGTTAATTTATGAATAATACATTTTTATAATTGTATCATAGTATGACTGATGATTAGGGGATTCATAATGTCTGTCATAATACTATTACTTTTACCTGGGATGGATAAAAAGAGTAGGTATATTATTGTACACCACAGTAACTCACTTCTATCATTTATTAGAATGATACAATTTGAAATGAAACGTCTGAATAGGCATCTTATTGCGTACTATAATGGGGAAACTGAATGAACCCTTTACTTTTCTCAATGTCAAGTATCTCACCTAAGCATTTCCCAACTTTAATCCTCTTAATAAAAAATAAGCTGCCAGGTGCTCTTTAGCATTTTGGGGTTCTGTGTTGAGGCAGCTTGCTCTGGTCTAAACAGTGGGGCAGAAAGAATCTGAGTTACCTTCAGTAGCAGAGCTGTCGCCACAGTGACAGTGTCAGGCCTCCTACTGAGGCGCCCTCCAACTGACTGGCTCCTAAGGTCATCTGAGTTAAACTGCCCAGGTGTATCTGTGTGCTCTGGTGTGCAATTAAGTGCTAGACAAAAGAGAACCAGCAGACGTCACGTCATACTCAGGCCCCGGAGGACAGGAGTTGCCCATCCCTGGCACAATTACTGTATAACCGACAGTTATGGATGAAGACCGTCATTCAAATAAAATAACCGTCAAAACTGTTTACATTTATTTGATCATTTTTGGTGTGTGGAACGAACAGCTGGCTGAAGACGGGACGGCCGGGCATTCATGCGGTTGAGTCGGTTTCTGCGGTAACATGGATTCTTAACAATGTGATGGAACTTTGTTGCTCAAACAAGTCTTTGGTTGCCTAGGCAATGCCCCCCTCCCTGCAGCAGCAGCACATGCAGTCAGGAGCAGAGGAGAACACTATTGGAACGGTTATACGGGTGACCACGGTCATTTGGCTGACCAATAACCGTCATCCAAAATTCCATGACAGTCACAGTCATAATAATGATGTGAAACAACAGTTAGACATCACATGAGCAAAATCCTATTTCTCTGCTGAAATAATCCTATAAAAATGTACATTGTTGTGTGATTGTTTGCTGTAGTGTGATTAGACTGTATGCCTGGATGCACCCAGAAGGGGTCATTTCAGTCTGCCTTCCCTGTCCCTGTGTGTGTGTGTGTGTGTGTGTTTGTGTTTGTGTTTGTGTTTGTGTGTGTGTGTGTGTGTGTGTGTGTGTGTGTGTGTGTGTGTGTGGTTCACCCAGTTATAAAGCTCCTCATCTGTAGATGCCACCAGCAGATGTTTGTTGGAGCTGGCATGAAAATGGCCTCCCAGTGGAACACTCCCCGTGTGAGTAGTGCAGAGAGGAAGGTGCCCCACACCCGCATGGAGGATGAGGCTGACCTCCAAGTAGGTAGAGACCACATCCAGGTTTATCCCCAGCTCCCCCCCACCGCCATGGGTTACTAGTAACACCCTCTACCCCTCCCTGACCTCTATAGTGCCTCCATCTGCACCAGATTGCTCCTGATTTCGCCCCCTCTCTCGGGGCATCGGCTGCTCTCTTTGCCAAATCTGCAGCAGGCAGTGCTCAGCCTCGCATGCACAGAGATAATGATCAAGTTAATTAGACCTGAGATTGAATGAACTGCGGCAGCAACTTAATCATTTGTAACTTGATTAGAAATACTATATTCTGCAACTCCAGAGACCGGAAAACTTTCCTTTTTTGAGTGCTTGAAAATTAAGATCCACTTTAGGATTCAGGTCTTGAGATAATGTTGCAATAGAAGCAGGGAAATAAACCCGAGCTCGTATACTCAAACAAGCCCATAAGCTGAGGGTAAATTTGCTTGTGAATGGTTTTACTGAGTTGACAGAGCAAATGTGAGTTGCCTTTCTATTAATGGTTCCTCTGTTATCCCCATAGCAAATATACTCATTTGGGAGGAAATTAGGTCAAGGTAGCTTTGGGGTCGTCTGTGAAGCCACCCACAACGAGACAAGGAAGAAATGGGCTATTAAGAAGGTGAACAAAGAGAAGGTGAGTGCATTAGTGTTTCCCATGGGCAGCTTGTTGACTGCAGTGGTGAAAAGAGACACTCTAAAGGCAGTCTAATGGCTACTAGAACAGCCTCACACCTCAGTGCACTCACTCAGCTTCTTCCCTAAATGCAGGCTGGAAGTTCAGGTGTCAAACTGTTGGAACGGGAAGTGAGCATCCTGAAACGTGTGAACCATGCACACATAATACATCTAGAGGAAGTCTTTGAAACACAAAAGGTAAGGGATGCTTTCTTTAGAAGTAATCATGTCAGTATCTCAGTAGTGTGCGTGCAGATGATTGTGGAAGCACTATGAATGAGAGAGAGGCCGGTCAGATCTATTTTGTGGGGGCTATTATCAGTCTGTGTGCTGTGCTTTGTGTCCAGAGGATGTATCTGGTTACTGAGCTGTGTGAGGGAGGGGAGCTAAAGGAGCTCCTTCAGAAGAACACACGCTTCACAGAGGAGGAGACCAGGCACATCATCAGCAGCCTGGCTGAGGCCATCGTCTACCTGCATAAGAAGGGTGAAATGACTGTCTAAAGTTATAGGTTTCACATCGTTACAAGGATCTACATTTGAACATTTTACACAGTGAAACTTTATTTCAAGCAATAATGAAGGAAGGGTAAGAGGCAGAATATCAGACTATGCCTTCTTTTACCTTTTATGAAACATAACAAACTAATCAAGGTGCACTGATTAAATCATTCAAACATTCATGCAAACAGTACAGACAATGTGTTGTATGAGTAAATTGTGTGCGGAGACAATGTGCAAATTGGTGATATCACGGTCACATCGTACTCAAACGAGTCAAATTGCTTTGGCCTCATTGACGTGTGATAATCAGGGAGATGATACCACATTATGGCTCCCAGTCATTATAGAACCTGGCTTATTCTAATAATGAGATAATAATGAACAACTGCCAGGCAAAAATGGTAGCCCTTTTAATTGAGTCTGAGGGGTTTATTTGAAGATGCTCTGTTTTTTTCCCCCTCCTGATGGTGAAATCTCTAGTTAGAGGTAATTTAGGACGTTGCTTGGCAATGAGGCACCATTACATGGGGCTAATGACTCATTTACAACGAGCTGGGGAGGAATACAGATTAATAGGTGTGTTTTCACACTAAGAGTCCCTCTGCGCTGTCGTGGCGCACTTCTATGGCGACTAATGATACCAGCGGGGATGTGGTGCTAAAGGTTAGCAGTGACTGTCACAGGTAGTGGCCTTAAAGGGCAATTCCACCACTTTTCAACCACATTTTAATTGTCTCCAGCACAATCCCAGTGTCTACATATGTGAAAACGGCGCATTACTACGTTTTGTAGAAAAATATATAAACACGCTGTTTTCAGATATGTAGACACTGGTTTGGTGCTGGAGATAATTAATATGAGGTAAAAAAGTGGAGGAATTGACCTTTAACCATATATAAGCAGCATGGACATTCATTACTTCTTGAACAGTAAATATGACAAATTGTTTAGTAAAGACATTGATATGATACATTTATTTTGCATAGAACGATTCATTTGGTCCCATGAAATGTTACTATGAATTTTGTGAACCATTTGTTCATTGTACTATTAGTTCTTCACCATGCCGTTGTTACTATATAAATACAGAGGTTCATCCACTGTTGTACACCCCAGAGTATATTTTATTTCCAGTCCATATCTTCCTGACCTCCATCTACATTAACATTAGAGCAGAGTAAACTATATATTAGAGGTCAGCATGCTCCACCCCTCTCCCAAAATCACTTTGCACTTTAAGCCTCCAGGGGAGAGAACTTCTCAAGAACTAATATGTGTGCAGAGACACTTTATTTTCCATCCCATCAAGTCAATCTGGCAGCAGCATCTAATCTAACCTTCAGAACTCTCTCAAACGTCTCAGAATCCTCCGCTCCATTCTGCACATCTCCTATAATGACCACTGATACTTTGTGGCTGACCATTTTTAAAAGGAGGCTGATATCTAGAGATTTGTCATAGGGATTGCTTGAATTTAGCAAGGCGCTCATAGTTACCCTGAGGATAAAGTAGCTGTTTTTGTCACAATCTCTGGGACTTCAGCTGTGGCAGAACCCCTTTCTTTCTCAGTGAATCAAACTCATTCCCAGGGGAATGCTCGATGACATCCATGATTGATTAAGGTTGTGGAGATGTCACCTGTTGAAAACAAGGCAACACTAAACATGTCGTCCCCCACAAATGATGCAGGGATGTCATGTGTCCTACTTATATCAGTACACTTGTAAAAAACCTAAGCATTACAAAACTTCTATTAGAATCAAATAAGCCACACATAGCAAAAAAAACCATTCCATTTCTTGTCACTAAATTTGACACTCTCATTGACCTCCATACAAAAACTCATCACTTTGTGAGACTTTTTTATTTATTTTTACGCCACCTGCTGGAGAAGACAGGCCCACTTATCCCTCTTGCTTCGCCTCTTCCTCTCTGGTGTGACTCACAAATGTCAGTGAATTACTATAGCTCCCGCTTTGGGCCAATCAGTGTCATTTTGTAAATGCCGGATCTATATGGTAAGACACATCATTCACCCAAGTTTCGTCAAAATCCAGTGCTGTCTGAGATATCGTACGGACAGATGGACTGAGACAGATCCACAGTCCCTTCCCCGATTTCATCGTGGGGGGCAATTACTCATTGTAGATTTTGCCTTTAACTGCTTTTAACCATCATACTTGTCCTCTCTGCTAAAGACCTATTGAAAGCCATTATGGTTGGTTCTTCTCATAGTAAAGGTGGTGTTTCTTTTTCCTATTTCAGACATAGTGCACCGAGACCTGAAACTGGAGAACATTCTAGTGAAGAGTTATCACCATGGTATTGATAATGACATGATCAATATCAAGGTGAGACTGTGACACAAACTGGAAAAACTTTCACTGCTGTTTCTCATCCAGCCAGTCTCTGCAGGGACTTAAGGACAGGCTCCTGGTGTGTTTTTTTCTCCCACTCTCCCCCTAAATGGTTTTAAACGCTAACTCATTATGACAGACCCCCCTTTGGTTCCCCTTTATATCACGCCGTACAAAAGGGTGAATCAAGAGCATCTTTTAAGACAAATTACTGCCTGGGCCCAGCATGTTGTGTGCATTGACAGAGCGCCAGCTGAAGCAGATACCTGGAGTGCGGGCTCAAATAAGGCAGGGCGGCAGCATAAATCTCTCTCACACACACACACACACACACACACACACACACACACTGCTGAAAGACAGCGTTGTTCTGGCAACTATAAAAGGCTTTTATCTGTCAGGAGGAGGTCATCTCTCCTGGATATTTTCTCCTGTTGTATTTCTCCTGCCTACCATTATTTTCTACATGAGACCATACAGCATGTACAGCTCATATTTGTTATTCATCTAACATAGAGAGGCCCAATGTGTGGACTCAAGCTCTTCAAGTAAACCTTGTTTTGTCTGATAAATAACGCCAAGAAGAAAGGATTTGATATGAGATGGATACATGCTGTACGCCTACATGTGTATCAGTGTCTGCTGTCTGTCTCTCTCCTCCCAGGTGACAGACTTTGGGTTGTCAGTGAAGAAAGGGGGTGTTGGTAGTGAGAACATGCTGAAGCCACCTGTGGGACTCCTATCTACATGGGTAAGACTGACACATTCAGTTCCTACACACAAAGACCACATCATGTTAGAGTAGAGTAGTCCTATTAAAACCAGTCCGTGCTAGTGACTGGTGTGTCCTCCTCTCTGTTTCAGCTCCTGAGGTGATCAATGCTCATGAGTACAGTCAGCAGTGTGATGTGTGGTATTGGGGTCATCATGTACATGCTGTAAGCAAGAGCCCCTCCCTGTTATCGCTGCCTGTCTGTCCTGTCTGTCTGTCTGTCTGTCTGTCTGTCTCTCACTGTAGCAGCTGTTCCTATACTGTATGTACAGTTAGCCCAGTGACAGATCAAGTAGTAGTATAGTTTTAGAGGCCTGTGTGACTGACAGGACTGCCTCCCTGTAGGCTGTGTGGGGAACCTCCATTCATCGCCAGCTCTGAGGAAAGACTCTTTGAGATGATCAAGAAGGGAGAGCTCAACTTTGACGGACCCGTCTGGGACACTATCAGTGATGCAGGTGACATACAGTAGTACTGCTTTTCAACCTCTCTGACTTCTATTTGTAACATGTCTGGTGATATGGAACTTTAAGGACACATGGTACATGACCACATCCAGGTTGAGCTGATGGGTTATTATTGCATGACTTAACATAGGGTACTGACTGTCCCATTTTTATCTCACCAGCTAAAAAAGTGTTGAGTTACCTCCTGAAAGTTGATCCCGCCCATCGCATCACAGCCAATGAGCTGCTGGATAACCCCTGGATCACGGTAAGGAGCTGATCCACCCAGCTACATTTCACATTAACAATGAGTACAGGAAGGACTCTCTGGTACTGCTGCATGATGGGATTGGGAATTGTTATCTCACAGCCTGGTTTATGGGGCTGATTGCAGTGTGATGATATTAACCCTTTAGAGGGGGTCTAACATTAGGTAGTGGTTCTGTGTCTTACAGGGTGACACCAACACTCCGGCTACGCCCAAAAACGTGCTGGAGATGATGCGTCTGTTCCGGGATGACCCGGAGGAGGCGGAGAGTGAGGAGGAGAGCGAGTTGGTCGGTGACGTGCTGAACGAGCTCTCTCTCAGCTGCTCCCAGGACAGCCTGACTCTGGAGCCCAGGGCAACGCTGGAGGACAGGGCAGGACCAGAGCTTAGAGTAACATTGGAACCTAGGGCTAGGCCTGAGAACAGGGCAGGGATTGAGGATGGGGCCAGGCTGGAGGACCAGGTAAGGCCGGAGCCCAGGGTGGCCTCAGCACGCAGTAACTGCAGGAACATCTCTGAGCTCAGCTTTGAGGGTGACACAGACAGTAGCAGCAGCAAACCCACCACCCCCACCAAACAGGTACTGTAGTACACACAGTTACCACACATACTATACACACAACTCAGTCACGCCATTAGACTCATCATGACCTGCCACTTCATAGCTGTTAGGTTCAAAATAACCTCTTTCATGAAGCACACCAATACTCAAGCTCCGGTTTAAAATTAGCCTTCTTGGCAAGTGAGCTGTTTCAGTTACACACTGGTATACGAGCTTCCGTTTCCCTTCCACTTCCACCTCAATTAGCTTATGTGGTAATGATCTTGTTCTTGACTAAAAACTACCTCTCTGTTGCGTACCTATACTTAAAGCAGGGAGTTATCACCCAGCGGTTCAAGCTCTCTACATTAATAGGGTTATTCAATCCAAGTACACGTCTCTCATGCCCCCCCCGTATATCTCTGTAATCCCACTATAGAGACAGAAGAAGAAGAAGAAGGTTGCTGCCTCATCGTCCAATGGACTGAAAACCAACGGCTCTGCTGTGAAGGTCTGCAACTCACTCAGTCCCCCCACTTCACAGGTCAGTCGTTTAGGAGTCTGTCTGCAAAGTCCTGTTCTCACAACACTAGGAATTAGGCAACCATTAGATATTTGTTTTTTGACATTAGCTTAGATTTGTATTTTTATATATTGATGCAAAAAAAAATCATTACAACTTTTCATAGTGCAAAAATGCTTAGAATGTGTCACACGGGCCATTGATTCATGTATTTTACATTAAGTCAAGCTAAATCTCTATTTGCCTTCACAAAACAGCCTGGAATTTATAAGATCTGATTCAAAATGTGTTGATTTGTTAAAGAAAATGCTTTTAGTTTTTAGGCCCCCACAAGTGGGTAATTTCGACGTAATTCCTGTTCTATAGCGGAAATGGTCATTTACAGTTGAATTCGGAAGTTTACATACACCTTAGCCAAATACATTTAAACTCAGTTTTTCACAATTCCTGACATTTAATCCTAGTAAATATTCCCTGTCTTAGGTCAGTTAGGATCACCACTTTATTTTAAGAATGTGAAATGTCAGAATACTAGTAGTGAGAATGATTTATTTCAGCTTTCACATTCCCAGTGGGTCAGAAGTTTACATACACTCAATTAGTATTTGGTAACATTGCCTTTAAATTGTTTAACTTGGGTCAAACGTTTTGGGTAGCCTTCCACAAGCTTCCCACAATAAGTTGGGTGAATTTTGGCCATTCTTCCTGACAGAGCTGGTGTAACTGAGTCAGGTTTGTAGGCCTCCTTGCTCGCACACGCTTTTTCAGTTCTGCCCACACATATTCTATAGGATTGAGGTCAGGGCTTTGTGATGGCCACTCCAATACCTTGACTTTGTTGTCCTTAAGCCATTTTGCCACAACTTTGGAAGTATGCTTGGGGTCATTGTCCATTTGGAAGACCCATTTGCGACCAAGCTTTAACTTCCTGACTGATGTCTTGAGATGTTGCTTCAATATATCCACATAATTTTTTTTCCTCATGATGCCATCTATTTTGTAAAGTGCACCAGTCCCTCCTGCAGCAAAGCACCCCCACAGCATGATGCTGCCACCCCTGTGCTTCACGGTTGGGATGGTGTTCTTCGGCATGCAAGCAACCCCCTTTTTCTTCCAAACATAACGATGGTCATTATGGCCAAACAGTTCTATTTTTGTTTCATCAGACCAGTGGACATTTCTCCAAAAAGTACAATCTTTGTCCCCATGTGCAGTTGCAAACCGTAGTCTGGCTTTTTTATGGCTGTTTTGGAGCAGTGGCTTCTTCCTTGCTGAGGGTCATTCAGGTTATGTCGACATAGGACTCATTTTACTGTGGATATAGATACTTTTGTACCTGTTTCCTCCAGCATCTTCACAAGGTCCTTTGCTGTTGTTCTGGGATTGATTTGCACTTTTCGCACCAAAGTATGTTCATCTCTAGGAGACAGAACGTGTCTCCTTCCTGAGCGGTATGACGGCTGCGTGGTCCCATGGTGTTTATATTTGCGTACTATTGTTTGTACAGATGAACGTAGTACCTTCAGGCGTTTGGAAATTGCTCCCAAGGATGAACCAGGCTTGTGGAGGTCTACCATTTTTTTTCTGAGGTCTTGGCTGATTTCTTTTGATTTTCCCATGATGTCAAGCAAAGAGGCACTGAGTTTGAAGGTAGACCTTGAAATACATCCACAAGTACACCTCCAATTGACTCAAATGATGTCAATTAGCCTATCAGAAGCTTCAAACGCCATTACATCATTTTCTGGAATTTTCCAAGCTGTTTAAAGGCACAGTCAACTTAGTGTATGTAAACTTCTGACCCACTGGAATTGTGATACATTTAATTATAAGTGAAATAATATGTCTGTAAACAATTGTTGGAAAAATTACTTGTGTCATTCACAAAGTAGATGTCCTAACCGACTTGCCAAAACTATAGTTTGTTAACAAGACATTTGTGGAGTGGTTGAAAAACGAGTTTTAATGACTCCAACCTAAGTGTATGTAAACTTCCGACTTCAACTGTAGGGTTCCACCTCCGAAGAATAACACATGCTGCTAATACATATTCATGAATTGGGGGTGGGAACATTGTGGTGATTTCCACTTGGAGTGGAGAAAAACAACAAGCAGGGTGCTGATGGCTGTCAGTGTAGCTAGCTAGCATGCTAACGTTATTTAGCTAGCTAATGTTATCTGTTGTTGCTACACCATATTCAAAAGTTTAGCCAGCTAGGCTATGGCTGGTTCTGGAGCTGGATTTGTCATAAGCATGTAGGGAGGGCAGGGATGGGCAACTGAGGGTGGGGCCACAAAACATTTGAACTCCTCATGAGGGGCCGCAGTTGCTCGCGGGTCTGCGTACTCACATCCATAAAGCAAGTTTCCTTCAATTCTGCACATTTTGCCATGGGGGCGGAGAGAAGATTTTGCTATTTTATAACACATTTCCTGCAATTGTACACGTTTTGCCGTAGGGTGGAGAGAAATGTTTACAGTTTTTAATATATCTGAGTGAGACCGCTGGCCGCTAAGCTAACTTAGCAATCACATTTTTTTTTGGTGACATGGGCTAATTGACTGACTATCACTAGCTAGGTTTCCATCCAATTGGAGACAGATTTGCATGTGAATATTCTAGAATCCGCATAAAGAAAATATGCACATTTTACCACCGGTGGTAGGTTTCCACCAAATAGACTTGTTTCGGATAAAGATCAGTGCGTGATGACATATAGTCAAAAGTTTGGACACACCTAGAAATTCAAGGGTTTTTCTTTATTTTTACTATGTTCTACATTATAGAATAATAGTGAAGACATCAAAACTATGAAATAACACATATGGAATCATGTAGTATCCAAAAAAGTGTTAAACAAATCAAAATATATTTTTTATTTTAGATTCTTCAAAGTAGCCACCTTTGCCTTGATGACAGCTTTGCACACACTTGGCATTCTCTCAACCAGCTTCATGAGGTAGTCACCTGGAATGCATTTCAATTAACAGGTGTGCCTTGTTAAAAGTTAATTTGTGGAATTTCTTTCCTTCTTAATGCGTTTGAGCCAATCAGTTGTGTTGTGACAAGGTAGGTGTGGTATACAGAAGATAGCCCTATTTGGTAAAAGACTAAGTCCATATTATGGCAAGAACAGCTCAAATAAGCAAAGAGAAGCAACAGTCCATCATTACTTTAAGACATGAAGGTCAATCAATCCAGAAAATTTCAAGAACTTTGAAAGTTTCTTCAAGTGCAGTCACAAAAACCATCAAACGCTAAGATGAAACTGGCACTCATGAGGACCACCACAGGAAAGGAAGACCCAGAGTTACCTCTGCTGCAGAGGATAAGTTCATTAGAGTTAACTGCACCTCAGATTGCAGCCCAAATAAATGCTTCACAGAGTTCAAGTAACAGATTGATCTAAACATCAACTGTTCAGAGGAGACTGTGTGAATCAGGCATTCATGGTCGAATTGCTGCAAAGAAACCACTGCTAAAGGACACCAATAAGAAGAAGAGACTTTGTTGTACCAAGAAACACGAGCAATGGACATTAGACCGGTGGAAATCTGTCCTTTGGTCTGATGAGTCCAAATTTGAGATTTTTTGTTCCAACTGCCGTGTCTTTATGAGACACAGAGTAGGTGAACGGATGATCTCTGCATGTGTGGTTCCCACCGTGGAGCATGGAGGAGGAGGTGTGATGGTGTGGGGTGCTTTGCTGGTGACACTCTCTGTGATTTATTTAGAATTCAAGTTACACTTAACCAACATGGCTACCACAGCATTTTGCAGCAAAACACCATCCCATCTGGTTTGCGCTTAGTGGGACTATCATTTGTTTTTCAACAGGGCAATGACCCAAAACACACCTCCAGGCAGTGTAAGGGCTATTTGACCAAGAAGGAGAGTGATGGAGTGCTGCATCAGATGACCTGGCCTCCACAATCACCCGACCTCAACCCAATTGAGATGGTTTGGGATGAGTCGGACCGCAGAGTGAAGGAAAAGCAGCCAACAAGTGCTCAGCATATGTGGTAACTCCTTCATGACTTTTGGAAAAGCATTCCTCATGAAGCTGGTTGAGAGAATGCCAAGAGTATGCAAAGCAGTCATCATGGCAAAGGGTGGCTATTTGAAGAATCTAAAATATAAAATATATTTTGATTTGTTTAACACTTTTTTGGTTACTACATGATTCCATATGTGTTATTTCATAGTTTTGATGTCTTCACTATTATTCTACATAATGTCTAGTCTACATGATGAGATTATTATGGATACGAGCGATAATATTTGTCAAATGGCAATCAAGCATTGATCATCATGTCACCAGAATGAGACCCTCGATATTTATTGGAAAGCAGCATCAAGTTCATCACCGTGCACTTTCACCAACCTGTAAAGTTCATCATCATTTATTTCATCTGTAGCCTAATAAACTTCATGGTTTCCCGAGACATAGTGGTAGGACCACACACCATATCATCGCGTGACTCCAAATTCCTTCCATATGATAGTTATATATTTCCAACGCATTTCTCGCAAAATCAATTTTACAAACACAAATAGATCCCACCATGTCGAACAAACAAATGATCTGTCGGCATTTATAAAATTACACAGAAACTTCCTGTATCTATCACAGCTGTCGTGATTTAAAAAAAATATACGATATGACTTAACTCGCATAAAAACTGTGGATGGAAACGTGGTTACTGACTGCCATAACAAGAGAAACTGCTGATGCACAACCACATTTCCAAATGGTACCTTGTGTATTCTACTAATCCGAGGGCCTTCAAACTGCGGGCCGCCAGTTGACCATCCCTGATGTAGGGAAAACTTCGCCACAGATGGATAGGATAAACAAGTTACTTTGACTTTGCCATCTATTGTTATCTCCAAAGTTTTGGCATCATCCATAAATATCGGCCGCCATAGAAATAGATGGAATAAGACGAAGGTCTGGTAATATGGATAGTCTAACTATTGAACGGTTTGGACTAGACTCATGCCATGGTTCTCACAGCTAGGGGAAGTGAAATGGCTACAATTACTTTGCTCATTATGTACACCGCAAATGATATGTAACAACAGCCTGAGCGCATCGGACACGAAACACCAATACTTGATGTAACAGAAGCACAAAATAGATAAACAAGTTTGTGGAATGTTCTTTCGCGGTGCCTTTTCATTATAGGATAGACACTTGTACATTTGTATAAAATCTTCTTCTTTTTTTATACAGACTAGCTAAAAAAATAAGTGAAATTTGGCTAATTATCCAATAGATTATGATAATTTGCTGGTAAAAAAGTGGAGGTACAAAAACATGTTTGTACCCCCTATTTGTATTTACTCCATGGCTCAGGCAGCCTAGTGTGGGCTATGGCGAAAAGCTGTAGCCTGAGACTGAAGAGGGAAGCGAGGTATCCCACTCGCTGTTTTTTTTCTGGTTCAATGAAAGTCAATGAACTAAGTATACCAGACCCAGTTGCTATTGTATTGGTGTCTATTGGAGACCCACCCTGTTAAGTAGACCAGAACTGACCATTTCCCCCCCCCCCCAATGGTAACCGGCCTGAGTGAACTATCTTCATTTATCCACCATCTTTGCTGTAGCTAACCATGATCTATTATATTTCTCAGCTCAGTCGCAACTCGTGAACTTTGCAGGTGTTTATGATTAATAAACAATGCCTTACGGGTGGGTGGTACCATTAAAATAAAACCCAGCCCTGAAACGAAACGTACGCTAAAAATAATGTGCATGTCATTTCATAGGAAAAGATACGTCATTGGCACGAATTTGCATGAAGTGGGCAGTTTGGGTTTGTCACTTCAAGCCCAAATATATCATACTTTGACTAAAACAATGAATTATTTACTTAAATCGTTGTGCAACATCATGAGTAAGCTCTGGCAATTGTCTTTCAGCTTGAAAAAATGGATTTCTACTAGTGTGGGCGTTTAATGCTTTTTGGCCATCATATTGGTGCTCTTGATATTCAGTCACCACTAGATGGTGCCAGATTTACCTATGAGGTGGGCCGAACTAGTGACAGAGCCCAGTAGATGTTGTTCTGTAGAGGTGAACCTGTTGTGTTGGCCTTGTGTGAGATGAATATGAGTATCTTATCTTTGCAGTCCCATACAGGTGGCATACTCTCCAGGCAGTCGAGTGCAAATCGTCTCAGCCCACAGGACAAGAGCGAGACCCGCCCAACCTCATCCCCAGTTGGGCCAGCTCCCAAACCAGCGGCCGGTCCAGGGAAGGCAGAGGCCCACAAACCCCCCCGCACCCCCTCTGGCTCTAGGCCTGGGAGCCGCTCCCCACGACCACCTCTCTGTAGCAGGCCTAAGAAGAGCTCCTAAGTACCATCAGCAGAGTGCCCAGCCCCACGGGCACCGCGTGCCAAAGGAGAGGACCCCCGTCAGAGGTGTACCCTGGGGGGTGGCAGGGCTGCTAGACACATGACCTGTTGGTATTCATATGTCCACTGTGTGACACACACCAGCCCTGGACTGACTGAATAGTCTCTCACACACCTACTATGATGTAGTTTTAGAACGGCCAGTAGACAGATGCTGAAGATAGGTTTGTCAGATAAGATTGTCAATAGCATCAGCTTGAATGCATTCAGAGGGTAAACCAACATGCTGTGGAATCAGGAGAGCAAATAATTGACCTAGCAATGATTTCACAGTAAAGCACCTGATTCCTGTTGTTCAAACTATCCCTATTGCGGCTCCACTGACCTTCCATCTTAGGCTACCTGTCGTTTCTGTTATGCTTAGTTACATAAATTACTTTGTCTGCATTTTCCATATCAAACTCACTGACAGTCTGAGTCATTTGAAAATCCACTCATTAAAAAGTAGATGGGAAATTCAAAGGGAGTGTTCATCTGTCTTATTTATTCCGTTGGGCATAATTCATTATTTATTAGTGGTACACAGGGTTGTGTAGCTATTAGTTTTTTCTATGTACTGTAAAAGCATACTTTTCTATTTCTTTCAGTATCCTAACAGGCAAATGTGATATGAAAGATCTTCAAAGTGCCTTGTTTTTCCCCACAAATGTCATTAACATAAAAATAGTCCAACATTCATTAGTAGTCAGTGGCAATCAGGGGTTCAAGCTTGTCTGCTGTTTATTCTTTTCATTGAGCTGTTCTTAGGATGATTTACGGATGATTGCCAAGCATCATGAGAAGAAACTACTGTACAGAAATTCCATTGTTTTGTGTTCAATAAACATAATCAGAAATGGGTTTTATTTTTTGGTGATTTTGTGATAACGTTTCCCTTATTCTGTTTTGACCTCAATTTCTAAAATCTCTAAAAATGCAGTTAACCCTCTTGGTGTCAATACAGACCGGCAGTGGCACACAGGCTGGTTACGCACCATCAAAATGCAGGGGATTGGGACTGAGGGCAACCATGTCTCTAATCTCGTTTGGGAGGCCATTGAAAGCAGCAGGAGCTACTTTGAGGGCTCTGCCATTCAAGCACAGGTCTTTCTGCTGTAGAGAGAATAATCCCCAGCATAGATACAACATTAAAGTAGTCAAGCAGAACCCACAGAGGCTGTATTTCAAATCCACCCATTTGCATCTGGAAGTGAATGTGTGCCGACAGTGGAGCACAGAGTGAGCAGAGGCTTTCTGTGTGTGTGTGGTGGTTGGATTAGCTCTTTTGAAGAGAAGCGCATGGCACATTTCTCCTTTTGGGTGATTGGTTCACAGCCTTTAAACTGTGTAAATAGCTCCCTTTTATCAAAGGCTTCCAGTGCTTTGTCCAGGTAGGCATGCTTGCCTTTCCTGGCCTGGTGGACAGTCCTGCAGGAATGACTGGTTACAGGAGAGAAAGGTTGTTTTAGAGCCTAGTTTTGAAACATAACTTTCAAAATAAAAAGTAATGCTTTATGGGAGCACAGAGTGAATGACAAATTAAATATATTTTATAGTATACACTGAGTATACCAAACATTAAGAACACCTTCCTAATATTGAGTTGGGGGTAGGGGCATGGACTCTACAAGGTGTCGAAAGCATTCCATGTTGACTCCAATGCTTCCCACAGTTTTATCAAGTTGGCTGGATGTCCTTTGGGTGGTGCACCATTCTTGATACACAGGGAAACTGTTGAGCGTGAAAAACCCAGCAGCGTTGCAGTTCTTGACACAACCCGGTGCGCCTGGCACCTACTACCATACCCCTTTCAAAGGCACTTAAATATTTTTGTCTTGCCTATTCACCCTCTGAATGGCACACATACACAATCAATGTCTCAATGCTTTAAAACCCTTCTTTAACCTGTCTCCTCCCCTTCATCTACACTGATTGAAGTGGATTTAACAAGTGACATCAATAAGGGATCATAGCTTTCACCTGGTCAGTCTATGTCATGGAAAGAGCAGGTGTCCTTAATGTTTTGTATACTCAGTGTATATTATCAATAAAAATGGGGCAAAGGGAAATGGGAAAAACACAGAAATGTAATATTGTGGGATTACATTTGTAATTTACTTTATACTACTTATGTAAGCACCAGATGGAGCTGTAGTGGATTCCAGAGTTAATTTCTAGAATGGAGTTGACAGGTGGACGCTGGCTAGAATGGCCTGCTATCTGGTTTCATGTTTGAATGCAGCCGTATATGTGTGTGATTGATTGAGCCATTAAATAATTATGATGGTGTATGTAAGTTGTCAGTGATGAATAACTGCATGTTTGCTGTGATGTGTCTCAATGATTCATTTAAGGAAAATAGCATGCAATGTGCATTTTCTCCCAACATAATCCACTGATCTGAGAAAAAAAGCATTGAAGATAACAATGATTCATTCAGTTTGTAAACCCCTCCTCCCTTTAGACCCGTGAACTGAATTTGCATAAGGTCTGTTTAGACAACCTCCTGTATGGCTAATGCGTTGTCAGAGGCAGAGATGGGATTTCAGCATATGGTCCTCATTTTCTTGTGCCAGACTTTTAATTCATTATAGAGGGGAAAAAATCTCCAAATTGAATTGTGCAAGTGGAATGTGACCTGCAGTAAGTGTGTACATCTGCAGGCCTCAGGGAAGAAGAAATTTAAAGAGATTGGAAAACTTGTCTTCATATGCAGCTAGGTCATATGCTTTGACATTCGCAGTAATGTCCATTTATGTATTAAAAAAGCAAACAAACTTCCGCTCGTTTTTTTTTCTTGATGCACCAAACTTCTATCAGCTTTTGCAGAACTACAGAGAGACGGAGAAGGAGAGTGCACAGAACAAGCAGAGAGGTATGGGGGCTAGGTTAGGGGCGTGAGTTTGCGACAAGGCATGGAGGCAAAGGAAATTAGAAATTCGGCGGGATGGAACCAGGGATGCGCCCTCTGCCCCCCTCTCCAGCGGTGCTCCTGACAGATGGGAGCAGGGGGAGGGTGCGAGCAGCCTCCCGAGTGGGGGGATTAAAACCCTGCAGCCCCTTTTGCAGCCTGGAGAGAGTGTGTCACTGTGGAAAGGTGGGGTGAGGAGTTGGCACCTGTGGTGAGACTCTTGGGGGGTGAGGAGGGGGGTACAGGACCGCTAATGTCAAAGGAGGAGAGGATGCATCCCTCCCCTGGCCCCCCCTCCGCTAGAACCCCTTTTATTCACTGCCAGGCAGAGATGAGGGTGGAGGGGGGTGGGGGATGCATCTCAATAACCTTAATAGAGCTCCCTTTAATTAATCAGCTCATCTGCAGAGACCCGATACCTGCAGCTGAGCCCCCCATCCACTCCCCAAACACAACATCCTCCCTCACACCACATCTCTCTGCTGCCGTGACATTGTGCTAATGAGGTAACGCAGCTACAATGTCATGGAAACATTGCAGAGACGTTATCTGTAGGAGCTCATCACACATGCTGATGTCCCTGATCCCCTTCAATGTTTGCATCTGTGTGTGCGAGTCCTCCCTTGCTGTGCTACAATGCAACCATTTTACCAAAACAAACATATTCAAAATGATAAAGGAGGAGGGGAAACCATGATGCCACAGCAGTGGGTTGGATTTCTAAAGATGAAGAAAGGGGTCAAAGCCACACCTCAAGTAAACATTTGAAACAGATGGCAATTTCAAAGCAAGCCTCATCAATCTTTGTTGACACTATTCCTTTTTTAAACTACTCTTATTTGGGATATTTGCAATTATAATACATACGCTCATTTGAATATCAAATTAATTAGTGAACACACTAGAGTAAATGCCTTTTTTATAAGTCCTTGTTAAAAGTGAAAAGTTCTCGACTACGGTTGGATGGCGTGTTAATTTACAGTGATATCTAATCCCAAGTTACAGCACATAAAAGGCATTACTATACATATTTTAATGGAGAGGTGGTTGTTTTCCAAGCAATTTTCTGCTAGAGTACATTTTTAATTTATTCATATTTAATTTATTGGTCTCTGCATACCCACTCAGTAAAACTAATCAACAGCATGTATGGGGCCTCTTAAAGTCACAGCTCTCTCTGGCAGCCAGCCTCTGATCAGGATAAACCCTTCATTTCAAACACTCTTTCCATTTCTGCAAAGAGCAGGCTGGGTAAAAATACCCTCCCTGCATTCAGTCAACCAGGATGATACCACCTCCAAGGAGACTGTTCGATTCTCACAGACAACCTTTAATAATTGAAAAAAAAGTCAGAAAATGAAAAATGTGCCCAGCCTTGAATGATCCGAAATATTTCAATTTCTGCGGGTACTGACCATCGCCACCGCTGTCGGAATGTCATCGGCTAAGGACAGAGCCTCTGCCTCTCCTCAAACTCCTCTGCCCTTGAGTTGGCTTTTTTACGGTGCTTTGGCAATCATTTAACACAGTGTGACTAGAGTTCTTATCACCTCCACTGTACGCTCCAAATACCTATCGACCCATTGACACACGGCGAAGAGGGACCTGCACAACCTTACACATGGAAATGATTTCAATTAATTACCATTCCCCCTAGAGGTGGCAGAGCGGGGGGGGGGGGAGACAAAGGACCCAAACAAGGAGCATTTCTCTGGCGTAATGTGCACCATGTGTACTGAGCGGCGGAAAGGTCATTTGACACATTTCTGCAAGTATGAATCAATTTATTTAGAGCACGTAATTCTGTAGTCACCTCGGCGGCGTCGTGGTTTGGCAATGCGTTGAGAGGGTGCATTACTAAAAGTGGGTCTTCAGTTTCCTCCCTGTAGCCCCGGCTGACCGCAGGTCTGCAGGAGTGCCTGGAAAGCAGGGAGATAGTGAAATGGAGTGTGCCAGATCCAATCAGTCATATCATAGGAAAATCGCCTCCATCACCTTCAGCGTAATTGGAACATTCATTACAGTCCAGTAAAAACGCAAGGCACCATTAGATGGA